GACTTTCTGCGACTATGCTTGTCGTAAGAGGCGACTAACGGGATCGGGTGGTCAGGCTCGTTGACTTGGTTGACACATGTCATCGGTTCCCAATTGCGCAGATCGATGCTCATGCTTTTGATCACTGGATTGTCTGGTCCAGACTCGATTATTTACAGACCGCCGCCATATGGCTGGAATATTGCTGAGTGCGGCGTAAAACTTAACTCACTCACTCACTCACCCACTTAACCCTTCCTCCACCGACACAGGGTGCGATGCAACCCACGGCAAACATGTTGCCCAATTCGGTCGATTTCTACGACGAGCAATGGGGGCTGTGGACACATTCTACCCCGGGTCCACACGGTGGAAGAGCTATCACCGTTACCCAGCACTCACTACAAAGAGGCTGTTCTTCACGAACGCCTCGACTGAAGAGGAGTATATTTGGTATACCATTTATTTCTGGGCTTGCCTATTGCCCCGCTGTTTGTTGCGCTCACAGAGAAACATTCAGGGGTGAGTGAGTTGAATTTTACGCTGCAATCAGCAATATTCCAGCTATATGGCGGCGGTCTGTAAATAATCGAGTCTGGACCAGACAATCCAGTGATCAACAGCATGAACATCGATCTGCGCGATTGGGATACGATGACATGTGTCAACCAAGCCAGCGAGCCTGACCACCCGATCCCGTTAGTCGCCTCTTACCACCGGAAAGGGCGGCTGAAGACCAATTCCAAGACCGTGTTGTCAGGTCCAGATTCGATTATATAAGTACAGACCGCCGCTATATAGCTAGAATATTGCTGAGTGCAGCGTGAAACTAAATTCACTCTCTCACTCCAAATGGCTTTCCAACGTCCATTTACTTTCTGTCAGAAGTCCTAAGCGATGTCCATGCGAGAGATAACAAGCATTTTGTAAAGCAATAGCAGATTCAAATTATACAAATTTGTTCAAAACAAAATAACAACAACAAAAACTTTTAGGATGCGAAAAGTTTACTTCAACTTTGCAGAAAATGAACTGTGGCAAATCTTAGTTTTCATTACATCTATTGAGCTGCGAAGGTCTTGGAGTTTTGACAATCACGAATATCTGGATATTTATGAATGTATTAATATAAAATATCCACGTGACATATTACATTTCAGTTTCGAGAATGTACACATTCTTCACTGTTCTCGACTTGCTTCAAACCTTTGTTCGCAGTGGCAACAGCAACAGCACGCGCTTGCAACTGATACCCTATAACCCGCTGCACGCTTGTGTCTCCTGGGTCTATCTGTAATAATCAAATTAATTTTACAAAATATAATGTATAGGGATATGTGTGTATGAGAAATGAACCGTATGTAAGTTTCCGTGTTATCTCACCAAACAGTTTCCGTGTTATCTCATCAAACAGTTTCCGTGTTATCTCACCAAACAGTTTCCGTGTTATCTCATCAAATAGTTTCCGTGTTATCTCATCAAACAGTTTCCGTGTTATCTCATCAAACAGTTTCCGTGTTATCTCATCAAACAGTTTCCGTGTTATCTCACCAAACAGTTTCCGTGTTATCTCACAAAACAGTTTCCGTGTTATCTCACCAAACAGTTTCCGTGTTATCTCATCAAACAGTTTCCGTGTTATCTCACCAAACAGTTTCCGTGTTATCTCACCAAACAATTTCCGTGTTATCTCACCAAACAGTTTCCGTGTTATCCCACCAAAAAGTTTCCGTGTTATCTCACCAAACAGTTTCCGTGTTATCTCACCAAACAGTTTCCGTGTTATCTCACCAAACAGTTTCCGTGTTATCTCACTTAAAAGGAAAATGCTTCCACATTCCAAAGCATAACCCTATCGTCATTTATCACTGATTAAGACGTCATTTATTTACCAGTGACTGTTAATTGCTTGAAGCAAACGAACACTTGTTGTTTTTGTTCGTTTTATAGAGTTGACATTAGTGAAGACGCTTGCACGGAAATGCGTAAAGTAGATGAGAATACCAATCGAATAATATCTGACAGTAAATATGTGTTTGTTGTTTAGAATTTCAGAAAATCAGCGATGGAAGACAATGCATACCTTTTAGGTCCACGGTTCCCGTGTGCACGAGACCGACGTAGTAGACGTCGTGGAAGCGGCAGAAGCAGTCGATCTCGTCTCCCAGCAGCTCCTTAACAGCCCACGACTCGATGGGGCAAACATTCTTCACGTCAATCCAGTCTTCAGCGATTTGGCCTTTGCTGGCGTCGTGCTTCAGATGGAAAAAAGAAAATATCATTTTCTAAATGTGTCGGTGCCTCTTTAGGTTATCATGAACAAGAAGACATGGCCATCAATATCCCCCACCATTGTGTTCTGTTCCTATTTGGTTCCTGTTTTTAACTCCACCACAACATTCGTGTCCTGAAACACATACCAAATTTGGATTCCCTATCTGTAACGGTTACTGAGAAAATATGCCCCCATTGGGGATAACGTGCACTAAGTCAAGAAACACATGACAAGGGTCATAACTCTGTGAAGAAACGTAACGCGGTGTTCGTGTTCGAGCTCCACCACGACATTCATGTCCTGAAAACACATACCAAATTTCCCTATCTATAACGGATTTTGAGAAAATCTGTCCCCATCATCTCGGACGGACGGACAGAGCTCAAGCCTAAATCACCCTCGTGGCGGGGATAATAAATCCAAAGATAATTTCTATGACATTAAGTCTCATTGTGTAAAGTGTTGTGTCTTTGTAAATAAACAGGAATCCGTGACATCCAGAACACAACGTCTATGAAAGTTAAGAAAATATAACAATAACGTGATCGCCACAACCACGGGCAAAGGGGAAGGATAACAACTATATACTGTTATCCTTCCTTACTCCCCCAACTTCTAAATGCCTCTAGAAGAGGTCACACACTATGGGTTCACCTGAACAAACACGGGGACATATGGTAGGCAAGAAAGATAATTGCATCTGAGATTCAATGTCACAATACATTTGAAAACGTGGCATGATGGAGTTTTTCTGAACTAAATAATCAAGCCCTTGTTATACAGGGCCGGTGGGGTAGTCTAGTGGTTAAAGCGTTGGCTCGTCACGCCGTTCGATTCCCCACATGGGTACAATGTGTACAAGCCCGTTTCTGGTGTCCCCCGCCGTGATATTGCTGGAATGTTGCTAAAAGCGGCGTAAGACCATACTCACTCACTCACTCACCTTGTTGTACTGAACTCATAATTGCATACACGCATGACTCACATTGCGTGGAAATTGCGATCCTCCACGTACCTGTTCAATGCCGTTTATCTTCTCTTTCAACTCTTCAAAGGTTTCATTGATGTGTCTGACATAGCATGCTTTGTCCACCGAATTTCTCATGGCAACAAGTTGCTGAAATATTATAAAATTGACGTCAAGATACCAACGAGTAACAATTTGGCATGTAGATATCAAGACAACGCAAGTGAGTGATCAACGTCACAGTGCCTTCCTCACAAATACAGTTTACTTTTCTGTTACTGGGAACCAGTTTTACCCAGGAATCCTATGGTGTTAGTAATGAATACCATGCCAGTGAGTAGTATATTTATACTTTCAGCTCATGGAAAGGGACGTTAACGCTGTAAGTGTTTTAACGTTAGTTTTAAGCTTGTAGACAAAAATACCAAATACTCTGGAGAAAAGATTTCATGTTGCTGAAAAGGTCTTCCCCGATATGTGAAGACAGCAATAGAGAAAGACGTTCTTCTCTATTTCTATGGTTAAGACGACCTGTCAACCTTGATAATCCATGGGGCGGTGGGGTAGCCTAGTGGTTAAAGCGTCCGCTCGTCACGCCGAAGACCGGGTTCGAATCCCCACATGGGTACAATGTGTGAAGCCCATTTCTGGTGTCCCCCGCCGTGATATTGCTGAAATATTGCTAAAAGCGGCGTAAAACCATACTCACTCACTCACTGATAATCCATACTTGACTAGAGACATAAGTGTCAAAGCAATGATCATCAGTGTTTAAACACACAGGGGGAGCATGGCTTATAAATCCATTTTACAGATGTTACTGTGAATATAAGTTCTAAATTGTACGTTAAAGGCACAATGTCAAACAATTTCGACAATATTTTGGCCTATACTATATATATTGGGGCATATCCACTCACTTTACCTTCCCACTGGTGCAATAAGACTTTTTATCCTTAACGACTTGCCTGAAATCGATAATTGAAACTTCGAGGCGAATAATTTCCAAAAAGAGAACACTTGCTCCGTACATCGAAAACTGTCGCACGCGGTGTTGTCGGTGTTTGCTGAACTGGTTTCAAAGACGAGTTTTGCGTAGGATATTCGTAAAGAACGCTCGGGCATAACTCTATGGAGTTCGCTTGAAATAATGTTCGGCCGGTAGAGGGCGCGAGAGCCTATTTAATGCAACGTTGCATTAATTAATTCGAACGCTTTAATCTAACATTGCAATCTAAATTCGTAATCATTATTGGAATAAATTATATGGTGGCTTCGCTGAGGGCTGATAGTTAGCATTATTGAGAGAAATGCATTAATTTATTTTTAGAGAAATATGGTGTGATATAGTGCCTTTAACTTTGACACAAATTTCGGATGTAAACACTCAAACTTTTAAGTTTAGGCATTTAGTGTATAAAGCTAAATACCCTGGAAAACACGTGGAGGTTGGTTGTCTCATGGAAAGAGTCAGGTGCATTGTCTGGTTTGTGGGACTGCAGCTCAATGATGTCATCTCCGATTGCCACGTTCAGCAGCATTGTCGTATCCCCGTAGGTCGCGCTGATATTTCTCCACTGCAAATATATCAATTGATTGTCGTTTAGAGCTGGACTCAACAATATTATTGAAAATATATTGGCAACAGGCAAAAGGTGCACCACAGACTGCTTTTTAGTTGAGAGAGGTTGGATTTAATGAACAATCTGTCACTGTCATATAATGTCGATATAACTTCGATCTAATTTTTCCTGACCATATTTCACAGAGCAAACCTACCTCATACGCAGCTGCAGAAGACAAGACGAACATTAAACTCATCAGAAGCATCGCCATTGAGAAGGATTTAGACTGAAACATGAAATTATTACACAATACTAAACGAACGTGAGATGAAAAACGGTACGAGAATAGATAGGTGTTTTCATTCTAAAGCAAAGGAGCTGAAACTGACCTTTTCAGTGTGGATGCACCAATTCTTGAATGTTGCTTCAGTGTGTGGCCGCCGTATCTGACAAGCAGTGTTACTTACCGGTATTTATATGCGATCTGTTAGACTCGTTATCCGTATACAACAGTCAAACATCCAATCACATTTGATGAAGTGAGGCCACGTGACTTGCACATGGTGATCGCACATCAGTCAATCACAGGAACAACCAATGACTGTTCAGACATCTAAAGCGTTCGCTCGTCACGCAGAATCCCCGTGTTGAATCCCCACATGGGTACAATGTGTGGAGCCCATTTCTGGTGTCCCCCGACGTGATATTACTAGAATATTGATAAAATCAGCGTAAACCCTCACTCACTCACTCACTCACTCATTCAGACACCTTTGTTGGTTCCCATTTCCCCACCAGTGAGCGGTTCTTCGAAATGTTCTCTTCTTGTATTCGATACTATGCTTCTGTTAGCGTGCCCGTAATCGGTTTTCTCTGTTCCAAGACAAAGTACATTATTTTACAATGCACATTTTGAGAACACACTTCCGTTATTATATCACAGTGATTCGTGTGTGTCATGAATTCACTCTTCACCATGTACACTACGTCAAGACGGATGTACGTTTAACATGAAATCACTATATACATATGTATATGCCTCAAATGTAACCGGTCTAACCCGTGCAATGTAGAAATAGTTCCACATTCAGACAGGCAGAAACTGAAGGACATATGTAAGGGCAACTTTTCACCAACAGCTTCTGTCAAGTTTACTGACATAACATAGAGGCATGGCCTCGGTGAACAGGGATGAATTCACTATGTTCTGAGGCGTAGACAATTGATGTGTCAGTGTATGGCCACAACCCACCCGGGTATATTTTATATGACATAAAACATGTGTAAATCCGGGTGGGAAGCAATGTCCACAGCATGTAGTCCCTATGATCCCTAGTATGGTAACCTAACCAATCCTGCTGGCGATGTCTAAGCCCATATATATCGTATTGTTTCCAAATAGTCAGAAAGATTCAATATTCAATAACTAGTTTTAAACCATAGTTGTTCTTCTGTACTACGGTGAAAGTTTATATCTGAAATTTTCGAGAAACTGACCAACCTGATCAAGTCACAATACTACCGAGGTGACCTAAATTAAACACTTACTTTTACATGACATTAAAATAACATCCATTGCATTGAAGACACAAACGAAATTGTGGTTCGGTACCAATTAAACACGCATCTCTACTGTTATAATAGTGTTTGGAAAGACCGTACTGGGGACGACCTTACATGTCTGATCTAAACACAAACTGTTGAATAATAAAGTATTTGTTAAGTTACAGTCGAATAATGGTATAAAACCTTGTCTGTTTATGCACATCCCAGTTTGAATCTCAACTTGCTTTGTAGGAGCATGAATTGTTTCCTTTGTCCCATCTGAACACGATACCCGTAGAAAATATCTTCTTTGAAGTGTTCAATAAAACATAAGACCAGATTGACATAGGCGCTTCCAAAATATATCCGTTGAGTATCAATGGTAGTTATCTAGACGACATTTATTTTATTTTTCTTGCTTCTATTCAAGCTACGTCCTTGAGAATGTTTACTTTAGACATAATGCTTGATAGCCTAAGCGAATACATTTTGTTAAACGTGTTAAGCAAACTGTCTTCATCGTGCTGTGAACACAGATCGGCATGTTGCTGAGGAGTCGTAATCGCGTTCACCCTTTGAGTAAATAGAATATGCAAGTGTGTAACCCATCCAAGTGTGTGAGAGTGTATGATAAGAAAACAGATCTTCTCCTTGTGATGAAAAGGACCCAAAAAAAGATTTCACAGGTTTATGTGTGTATTGTGTAAAAGAGTGACATAGGTCACATCTAGACTGTTACAGGTAACACTGTCCAGAGGACTAAGTTAACATATCTTTTTAGCTGAAAACAGTAGTAATGGTTGTTTGCATGGGTTTACCTGTGATCGATATGTCCGATATGGCTCGATTACGTTCCTGTTGGTAATAGGATAAAATAAGTTTTTAAAGTTATATTTTCAGAACAATTCGCAGAAGAGTTTTGGCCAATAAGAGGAATGTGCAATAAAAGGCTGTCGTTTCAGGCGAGGCTAAAACAAACCAATAAGCTCATCCCAGATCAGTTATCGGACTTTTCGTTTTTGTGACTTATTATCCATATAATATCCATATGTTAATATCTACCATGCGCCGTTTTTACTTCTGTTTTCAAATTTGATTTCTTTTGTGAAACATTTGTTAAAATATAACATTATTTCAACCATATGTTTTCAGTTTTCTCAAATTACTTCTGTAATTAATCTGAAATTAAATCTGTAATATTTTGTCAGTTAATGTGTCTGTCGACAGAGATTCTAACTTGCTTTGTTTAACTCTCAACCAATAAGATTTTTGTTGTGCACCATTAATGTATTATTCTGTAACATAATACTTGGCGTTTCGTACAGTTTAGAAGTTCAACCAAATTTAACAAGATATGACACTCATTTGCTGATATATATTTATTCATTTTCTCATATACAGCAAATGTTTACAGTTGATTTCGTGTTCTGTCTGTAGCATTGCGTAGATCGATTCTCATGCTGTTGATCACTGGTTTGTTTGATCCAGACTCGATTAATCAGCATCCAAAACTGTGTTCCATTGGAGATATTGCTTGTGTTGAGATCAAACGATATCTCCTAGGAGATATCGTTTTGACAGTAGATTTTGTACCATGCCCTGACAATGCTGTGGCGCCATGATCTTGATGACATCACAATGATATGACATAGCTGCACTACACGTCTAATGGTAACACCGTGTTCAGAGATGTACATTTTTTAGTGAAAGCTTATGAAGAGTAATATTGGATGATGAATAGAATCTCACCCTCGTGTGTACTGATATCAATTATATCAACTCGTGTTGCTGTAATTGATATCGGTAGACACTTGGCTGAGATTCCCTATTTTCAGACCGCTGCCTTATGGCTGGAATATTGCTGAGTGCGGCTTTAAACAACAACCAACCACTCCGTCTGTAGCAACAGATTCCTCAGACTTATGCGATCTGGGAACCCTATTCGTGGCTAAAATGGAATCTTCTGTATAGGATAATCGCTTGAAAATACCACTCCTTAAACCGCAAAATAATAACAATATGCACTAACCATTGGTATTTGATTTGAGAAGATTTCAAATAGCTTCACACCGCTCTTGCTCAGAAACTGTTCGGTCAAGGTTACTACATTTAAGGCCTCAGTAAAACTTTCACAAAGTTCCATGGTAGCCACGTGGAGGAAATACTAGTATGCATCAGTGATCTAGACTCGATTTGTTTGCAAACAACACCGTACAGCTGTAAAGACAAAAGACAAAGTAAGAATTGTACAATGGACTCTGCTTTTAGCAGAGATTTCTTATGGATGTAGAAAGAGTTTTGTCGCTACAATATGAACATTGCAATCCCCATAAGCTTAAGTTGATCTTGTTCATGGTTTTGTATTGCTTGAAATGTCCACCAAACGTACTTGGCATACTTGTCTGTGCCCCTGGCTTTGTATCTTGTCTGTGCCCTTGGCTTTGTATCTAGTCTTTGCCCTTGGCTTTGTATCTTGTCTGTGCCCTTGGCTTTGTATCTTGTCTGTGCCCTTGGCTTTGCATCTTGTCTGTGCCCTTGGCTTTGTATCTTGTCTGTGCCCTTGGCTTTGCATCTTGTCTTTGCCCTTGGCTTTGTATCTTGTCTGTGCCCTTGGCTTTGTATCTAGTCTGTGCCCTTGGCTTTGTATCTTGTCTGTGCCCTTGGCTTTGTATCTTGTCTGTGCCCTTGGCTTTGTATCTTGTCTGTGCCCTTGGCTTTGTATCTTGTCTGTGCCCTTGGCTTTGTATCTTGTCTGTGCCCTTGGCTTTGTATCTTGTCTGTGCCCTTGGCTTTGTATCATGTCTGTGCCGCTGGTTTTGTATCTTGTCTGTGCCCTTGGCTTTGTATCTTGTCTGTGCCGCTGGTTTTGTTCTTCCTGATGGCATGACACTCCACCGGGAGCACATACCCTCTGAAGAACTGGGTAATGCAGAATGGCTTTGTATCTTGTCTGTGCCCTTGGCTTTGTATCTACTCTGTGCCCTTGGCTTTGTATCTTGTCTGTGCCCTTGGCTTTGCATCTTGTCTGTGCCCTTGGCTTTGTATCTTGTCTGTGCCCTTGGCTTTGTATCTAGTCTGTGCCCTTGGCTTTGTATCTAGTCTGTGCCCTTGGCTTTATATCTTGTCTGTGCCCTTGGCTTTGTATCTTGCCCTTTGGCTTTGTATCTTGTCTGTGCCCTTGGCTTTGTATCTTGTCTGTGCCCTTGGCTTTGTATCTTGTCTGTGCCCTTGGCTTTGTATCTTGTCTGTGCCCTTGGCTTTGTATCTTGTCTGTGCCCTTGGCTTTGTATCTTGTCTGTGCCCTTGGCTTTGTATCTTGTCTGTGCCCTTGGCTTTGTATCTGTGCCCTTGGCTTTGTATCTAGTCTGTGCCCTTGGCTTTGTATCTAGTCTGTGCCCTTGGCTTTTGGCTTTATATCTTGTCTGTGCCCTTGGCTTTGTATCTTGTCTGTGCCCTTGGCTTTGTATCTTGTCTGTGCCCTTGGCTTTGTATCTTGTCTGTGCCGCTGGTTTTGTCCTTCCTGATGGCATGACACTCCACCGGGAGCACATACCTTCTGAAGAACTGGGTAATGCAGAATGGCTTTGTATCTTGTCTGTGCCCTTGGCTTTGTATCTACTCTGTGCCGTTGGCTTTGTATCTTGTCTGTGCCCCTGGCTTTGCATCTTGTCTGTGCCCTTGGCTTTGTATCTTGTCTGTGCCCTTGGCTTTGCATCTTGTCTGTGCCCTTGGCTTTGTATCTTGTCTTTGCCCTCGGCTTTGAATGTAGTCTGTGCCCTTGGCTTTGTATCTAGTCTGTGCCCTTGGCTTTGTATCTAGTCTGTGCCCTTGGCTTTGTATCTTGTCTGTGCCCTTGGCTTTGTATCTTGTCCGTGCCCTTGGCTTTGTATCTTGTCTGTGCCCTTTGCTTTGTATCTTG